ATATATACACACACACATGCTAAATGCCATCAAATTGGTTCCAATTTAAACAGTGACCCTGCGTGAGGTAATCTGTATAAGGTGGGTCTGAACTGCCAGCCTTTTGCAGTTAACAATCCAGTGCTTATCTCACAGTGACATGTGGACTTTATAACAGGTGGTGGCAGTCTCAGCTAGGCTCCTTAAAATAACTGGAGCTTAACCCCTGTCCTCCATGCCCATACCAACTGCTGAGTAATTTTCTTTCATGAGCAGGACTAGTGTATTCCTAGTGGGTTTTCCTGCTTTCCCTTGTGCTTAAGCTATGAAGTTTTACAAAGTTGGGTAAAGGTAGACAATATGTAAATGCAAGTTTGAGTAACCTAGGTAACCGATCAAAAAGCACAATTCTTCAGTCTTATGTTGTGCCTAGAAGTCATTTCCGACTCATACCAACCCTGTGTAGTTTCCAAGGAGTGGCTGGTGGGTTTGAACCGCTGAACTTGTGGTTAACAATGCAGTGCTTATCCTGCAGCACCATACGAGGACTTAGTTTAATAGAGGACTGACAGTCTTTCATTATATGAAATACTAGAAGGAAACATGGTACAAAATGAGCATAGGAACAAAAGCCATATTGTGCATAAGGTTCGTTCTGGTTACATTAAGCAATGCAAAGACAGAGAACGTTTTTTAGGAAGTTGATGAGAATTGTCTTAGAATTGTAGTGATTTCTAGTAAAAGTTTCATTTGGCTTGTATTTCACAACTGACAAAAACTGTAACTCTTCTCAGGGTAAACTTTAAACTATTTTATCTTTCAGGCTTTTGAACACTTACAACAGCTAGAATTAATAAAGCCCGTGGAAAGAACGCCAGTAAATGCACAGAGAGAGTACCAGCTGATGAAACTACTTTTGGATAATACTCAAATTATGAATGCTCTGCAGAAATATCCCAACTGTCCTACAGATGTTAGGCAGTGGGCAACATCGTCACTAAGCTGGTTATGAGTACTGACCAGTGATTTCAGTGGTGGAGTTCCAGACATATATCTTTAAAGAACTAAAATGCTATTCTTGTCTTTTGAAAAGATGTTACTACATTTTATGCTTATAAACATGTATTTTTGTACTTACGGAATTCTCTGTTGCACTTGTAAGCATCTTGGCTGTCTTACCTTTCTTTGAATATAAACACTGTTACGTGAGTCGTCATTCTAATGGTTAATTTATCAAAACATATTAAGTAAGTAACAGTTCAAAAGAATAACATGAAGGATTGGACCATAAGCTTATTTAATGATTTTGAAGTATTTTTGTGAGATATTTGAAGAGCTAGCAGCCAAAGCCTTAAAATTAACTTAAAGAAACAATGAGAAATATTTCATCTTTTGGCCCAGAAGAAAATGTTGCTTTTTTTTACCTGTACATACAGAAATTTTGGATTCTATTCCAGACCAACCTTGGTCTTCTAGTTCAGGGAATGACCAGTCTAATCAAAAGATGGCTCACATGTAGGAAAACAATCCAGGAGTTTAAGACATTCCCTGCTATACTTCTCAGAATAGGGTCCTAATACCTAATATAATCTGCATCAAAATCCCTTGTAGGAGTTTAAATGCACATTGGACCCAACCATTAGGCCAAAGGGATCGATTAGTTTTTTTTAACAAGCACTTCAGGAAATTCCTGAAAAACTACTACCACAGCAATGCGAAGAGTTTGGTAGTATGAGCTGTATCTATTTTTTATAAAAAAAGAAAAAAAAAAATCCCTACAGAGTGTAGAAGCATTTACTTGTACAAAGAGATCCATAAGTTTCATTAAAAACAAAACATTGCCATCAAGTCAATTCTGATTCATGCCAGCCCTCTGTACTCCACAGTAGAAGTACTCCTTAGAGTTTGTTGAGTAGAATCGTTACCAAAACAGTTCAACAGACACTGCTGGGTGTGCTCCAACCACCAAACTATGACACCACCCAGGGACCTTATAGATAGATTTAGTAATATTCATACCATTTTAAAGGTTTTAGATTCCTATTATGTTTGTAGCATAAGATTCCTAAGAGTCCTTACCTTTGTGTGCCTTATACTCTGTCAAAGACCCTGAGAGATTAAGTACTGTCACCTACAGACTAGAAAGCAGCGCAGGTAGGGCATGATTGATTAAAAAACACCAAATTCAACCCATTGCTACCTAATTAGTTGGTTCTGATTCATAGCAAACCGTTAAGACACAGGAGAACTGCTCCTTAGGGTTTTTCCGAGATTTGTAAATCTTTATGGAAACAGTTTCATCTTTCTCCCACAGTGAGAACGGTGGGTGGGTTTTGAACCACCAGTCTTGCAGATAGCAACCCAGTGCCACCACTAAAAGACAATGGGTTCCTGACCAAGTATTTTTTTTAAGTATGAGTCCTGGTGTGGTGCCACTGTACTGCAAGGTCAGTTTGAACTTCAAAATTGGCAGTTCAAACTCACCAGCCGCTCCTTGGAAACCCTACACAGAGTACTATGAGTAGGAACTGACTCCATGGCACTTAACAAGAAATAAGAAACAACTGGCTTTTAAGGAGTCTAATACGGAATGGAATATAAGATTGCTTTGCATAAAAGTACATTTAAAGTAGTTGTAACTATTTCTTTTGCATACGTAGCCTTTGTCTCTGCAAAAAAAAAAAGCCTTTCCATCAGTCTCGTGCACTTAGCATGTATTGCACATTTTGTGCTTATTAATTGCCCCTTTAAAAAATCCTGACCTAATAAAAGGGTCCTGACCTAATAAAGTGATTAGAGGGTTGCAAAAGTTTATTAGCTTTAAGATAACACTGAAAAGCTACTGTCCCTCATCTCCCTCCATGAGTAGAGCTACAGAAGTTAGATCAATACCCAAGTATAAAGATTATAAAACAGTTGATTTCCTGAAGAACCTAGTGTTTTACAGAACACACGATGGAAAACAAGTCACTCTTCAGTAGCAATTCCATGCGGAGTGCCACTAGGGTTGCATCTTAACTTTTTTCAGAATCAACACAGGTTCTTTCAAACCAGCATAACCTAAATGCTGTCTAGTCCTTCACTCTTGCATGCACTAAGACAATTGAGAATTAATTGGCACGAACTGCGAGCTTTTCCAATCCCATTTTCATTGAAAGTCTTTTTGTTGTTAAGTGCCATAGAGTGACTGGTTCTTAGCACCCCTGAAAAGGGTTACCAAGGATTGGCTGGTGAGTTTGAACCCCCACCTTGCAGTTAGTAGTCCTGTGCTTATCCTACAGCACCATACCCTTATAACAAATATTTAAATGAGTTTCCCAGATGCACTAGTTACCCTAAGTCAAGATGTTGAGTTGGTTCCAAGGGAAGCCCCTATACAGTGTTGCCTTAAATCTTTATGGCAGCAGAAAGCCTCATCTTTCTCCTTTGGAGAGGCTGATGGGCTTGAACTGTGGACCTTGTGGTTCACAGTGCAGTATGGAGCCCCCATACTCTTATCAAGATAATAGAATACAAATAGTAACCATTCAAATTGTAAAGTATATATCTATTTAGGATGTGTACATGTTTGAAAATGGTATTCCTGAGCCACATTTCTCTATTTTCATGTGAAAACACAAGGTAACTAATGCCAGGTAGCCTTTGGCTTCCAACATGTGGTAGGACCAACATAAACTCCAGTACAATCAGCTCAGACTACAAAGTAGGGAAGTGGTACAGCTAACAAACCTCCCCTTTTCACCACTATCCCCATTGAAAACCTCAACATGTCAACCTCTCTATAAATTAACAAGGCTAATTTTCCCTTCTTTAAAGAACATGTAGCTAAAGAAAAACTGCATATGCAAATCATACCATATTCATTTTTTATTTAATTGGGGTGGAATGGGGATAGCATACATTTCATTTGTACAATATTTAACAATCACTTATCCAAGGTGGGGTTTTATGGGGGGTTTTTTTTGTTTTGTTTTTTGTTTTTTTAAGCTTTTCGTTAAATACTTGCAGAAAAAATAGCAAGTATGATTTGACAGTAGTACAACAACCTGTGCCCAAACACTGACAAGAACTACAGAGTAAAGCTAAAAGAATCGCTTACCAATATCTTGAGAGGTAACAAATAGGATATGGGTTGAGACTGCATAAAAAACGTACTGCTGGTTGGATATCTGAGGTAAATGATGTTCAATCAAGATGCTACTTGTTTCATTTTGCCCATAAATTGATAAATAATTATATGCACATTATACCAAATGTTCCTAAAAAGTAATTTTTAAAAAAGGTAAAAAAGAGAAACTGGAAAATATCTGTGGCAAAGCATTTTTTTTAAAACAGTAATCACTAAACTACCATCTGGCCAGAGTGTTTTCCCTACCACCTATATTTTTCTTAAATGTAGATGTCTCTAGGGGTGAGGGAAAGGGGAAAGATTCTTTTAAATTTCATGACATGATTCTATTTTAACTCCAAAAAAAATTTTTTTTTTCCTGATTGTATATTCAAAATGTCCCCACGAAAGATATTTCAAATTCATGGGACCAGCCATTTTGAGGCACAGTCTCTGTTCTGGAATTCATAAGGTACCTGTAATAAACATCCAAACAAGAGAATCACACATCACATGCTAAAAACTTCCTAGCATCTAAAATACATACAAGAGCTGTGTCAGGGCTTAGATTTGGAATAAAGCCAAACACTGGTTAATCCCTCAGTCCTATGGCAATTGCTCATAAAAAGTAATCCTCACATGGCGATCTGAGCAAGGTAAAGAGTGTAAGAGCAGCAGTTGTGAGGGGTATCGGCAAGGCAATACGAGACTGATCATGAGGAGCACCAGACACGTGAGGAAAAACAAAGAAGTCACCATTTTTCTCATTCTGTGATTTTTTTTTTTCCAGTATCCCTAACTCAAACTTTTTGTTAACTTGCCCAACTCTGCACTGACTGTAAACCAAACACTAAAATGCCCTGCAAAAGAAAGTTATAACAAGACTAGTTATCAGGACAGGTAGTCACTGGAACATTCTTATTTTACTGCTTATAAAAAAGTATTTTTCTATTAACATAGTTCTCAAAAGATTACAAGTTTTAAAATTGGTTACCTAGAGTTAAGTACAATACCCAGGATTTCTAAAAAATTGTCTAACACGAAGAGAAAACATTTTGTGAATACTTGGTTTTATAAAATTTACCTCTAGAACTCACACAAGTCCAACATTCAAAATATCCCTTTTGTTTTGAATTTTTTAAAAAAAATGTTGATAACAAATAGAAATTAGCCTTCAGGAGATGAATACTTCCTGTATACGTATTTCTTAATATATTCCCGTCTTGATTTGTTTCAAAATGGAAGCAAACCTAAATCAAGAAACTGAAAGGCCAAGTACTTTTTGAAATAGAGAACTCAACATTGAAATGGAAAGTCTTATAATGAAACCTTGAGTACACTACACGTGACCAAGAAGTTCTGTATAGTATGTGGCACACAGACAATAATGCTATTACCCTTCTTTCCCTCCCTGCTTAGAGTCTCTTGACCTATGTCTTATTATAAATAATATAATTTATTATTCCCAGAGATTAAGTGCATATCATATGTAAAATGTAGTGTGTACTGTGTGGCTAAATCATCTTTTGAAGATAACATTCACAGTGAGGCTCCTGATTTAAAAAAACAAAAAAAAAGCAAAAAATGCATTGCCCTCAAGTCAATCCTGATAGTGACTTGCAAAAAATTATAAAATTAATGTATGGATTTACAAATGACCTGTAGCATAATACTGCCTGTCTCTTGGTCAGTAATCTTGAAATTCAGGAAATTATTTACTTTGGTCTATGTGAATTTGAGGAAGAATCCAATTATATTCATTCTAATGCAATATTGTTTTGCAAAGCTCTTTGGCACCTACCTACCATTCCATTTTCTTAGCAAGGATACAGCATGAACTACCTAAAATAATATCAGGTGTATAAGCAGTTTGGAGAGGAGGCCAGCTATGTTGTCTACATGAACACTGGTTACCTCTAAATGTCATTGCATAAGTTTAACTGTTATCCCTGATTTGTTTTAAAGCAGTAACATCTGAAATCTGTGCTTAGATGTGAAACCTCTATCCTAGAATAAGTCTTTACATATCACAGACATCAAATATTACTCTGACAAGATGGCACCAAGCAGAAGTATTGTGATTGATAATGTTACAAGTCTCAAAGCAGAGTGAGGAATTCTGGGTAATGACACTTCCTGAGGTGATCCTAAAACAGTGATAAAGAATGTCCCACACACTGTTTGGTGAAAAGAAATACACTACAATTTTACATACATAAATAAGAAAAATCTATTTTAAAAATTAAAATGAAGAGCTTTCCAGTGTCACAGCTCACTTAAAAAATTTTAAATCATGCTTTAAATCTCAAAATATTCCCCAGACACATAGGACACCTAAATATATATATATATATACATACTTAGGTAAGTATGCGATATTGTGGGAACTGGATATAAGATGAAGCTTTAAAACGTGGGAAAGGAGAAATGACACCACTTTTTGTTTCATTAAAAAACAAAACACTTTTTTCTTAAATTACAAGCTAGCACAAGAAAAACTAAAACATTGCTTTACGAATAGCCACTTACTGTTGGCACTAAGCATAGCTTACCTTTTTTCTTAAATAACACAGTGAATTTTTAATACCTTGTTATAAAACATGAATCAATTTATTATTCAAATTTTAGTGTTTTCAATTTCATAATTTAGCAACCGTGGAACTGAGGTATACCTTGTTGAGGGAGGTTAAAGTAATGCTTGGAAGCCTTTTTACTGTACCCCACTTTGATGACTTTGTTTATGTACACGGAACAGCAGCACACTAAACATTCACAAGCTGTGTCATATTGGCATTACAATAGTCATTTATAGAAACACAACAGCAAATGCAATAAAAACAAGTTACCCTTTTTAAAATCTGAAATGAAAAGTCTGTGATTTAAAAAAAAATAGTTCATTTAAGGAATTAGTGTCTTCTGGCAGACATGAAATTTGATGTCAGTTTTCAAACGCTCGGTAAGCCAGGTCCAAAAAATCCTTGTAGATTTGGAGCGGGCCACATTCTTCATGTACACTTTCAAAAGTTTCTTTATAGAGTTTGCAACTTTTCTTTAGTCTCATGTCCTTCACATCTGTGCTGTAGGCAATGCAGTGAGTCTCCCAGAGCCACTTTTTTAAATGAGGGTCTTCCGATATTTCCAAGAGAGATCCTACTCATTTCACCCAAAATAAACTAAGCAGTTTTGTTAGCTTAGCAGCTCCGGTTTAAAGTCTTGTTTCTCAGTGTGTGCTGATGATAATCCAACCATCATAGACTAGATTCTTTGGGAGGAAAGTCAACATTTGTCACCATCGTGACCACTGTCACAATGTCCTCTGTGGTAATGATATTTGTAAGTCTTTGCATCTGAGTAATTCTTTCTCCTACACATCCAGCTGATAACCTGGCTTCTGCATCGTGATCCCAACATTCTTCTATTGTTTCACAGAGCATTGCCATTCCCTAAAAGGAGAAATGCAGTCAAACACCAGAGCCATTTTTGTTTTCTATCCCAAATAGAGTTCTCATAAAGAAATGACTACATTAGTGAGTCAACGGACATTTTCCATGTCTGTTATTACTCATAACCATTTTTTCATTTAACATCTGTGTACAGGAAGGAGCATGAAGAAAAGCACTCAGGAGGGAAAACAAGTGTTTGTTGTTAACACTGAAGATTTACATCAGAAAATACATTTTTCAATTTTAAAAATGTTCACAAACCAGGTAATTTCAAAGCTAACTCTGGAACTGGACTCAAACCTGAAGGCTGATGGGAAATCTACCATTGATTCTTAGTTTATATCAGTTTTTCTAGCTTGCAATTAAACACAAGATGAGACAGCCATCCTTGAAGATTCTCTACATGGTTTGTCCATGGATTGTAATTCTATCTAGACCAAATGACCAGTATAACACTTCACTATCCTTTGCTTTGTTTCTAGCTTAAAGCAAAAGACTCAACCACAGAATAATACTGGATGCTTACTGTAAAACAGACAAGAGAAAGATGAGGCCCCTGCAAACACAGCACTGGAAGCCCTAAGCAGGGCCACTATGAGTGGGAACCAGGTCAACTGCACTTAATAACAGCAATGTGTAATAACATAGTCCTGCTGCTGCTGTTAGGCACTGGGCTGCTAACCAAAAGGTCAATGGTTTAAACCCACCAGCTGTTCCCATAAAAAAGATTCACAGTCCTGGAAACCCTGTATAGGGAGGGTTCCTATGTGACTCGTGGCAGTGGGACTATATAACAAGCTTTTAAAGGGCAACACATAGCAAGTTCTGGGTAGTTTCTCTTCCTGGGAAAGATTTCCTGATAATAAGCCCATAGAAAGGAGCGTCTCCTACTACTACGATGACTTCATGACCTCCCTTCCTGAGTATAAACCCCAAGAAACTACAGTTGCCATTGAGTGATTCTGATTCATAGCAACACTGCATAGGGCTTCCAAGGCCATAAATCTTTATGGAAGCAGAAAGTCTCATCTTTCTCCCATAGAATGGCTGCTGGGTTTGAACTAACAACCTCAAAGTTAGTAGCCCAGTGTTTACTCTAGAGTGCCACCACAGCATCTCTCGAGTATGGTGGTTGTATCCCATTGAGTCGGTCCTGACTCACAGCAACCCTGTGTAGGGTTTCCAGGGCTGTAAATCTTTATGGGAGCAGAAAGCCTCATCTTTCTGTGAGTCACTGATGAATTCAAACTGCTAACCTTGTGGTTAGCAGCTCGTTGCATAACCCATTGGCAGGTCTCCATATACACAGCCCCAAGCCTATTCTTTCTAAAACTTGAGTATAAAACATCCTGTGTGAAGACCACCTCCCCGCCCTGCCCCCCCAAGAGAAATGCACATAAATAAAACAATCCTCTGGAAGGTGTGTTATTGGAATTTCAAACGAGAAAATAACTTACAGCATGTTTCTGCCAATAATCTCTTAAAACAGGCCTCTTTTTCTTATGCACAACAACTTCCTGCATGTCTTCAAGGGATGGATGCTGGCCAATTTCCTCTTCAAATGGCAACATATACTCATCTACAGGCCCTGAAATGGTAAAGAAGGGAAAAAAATTAATACAAATCTTTCTGATTTCCAAGCTGATACAAACTTTGTAAGATACACACTGTTGCACCATTTCCCCCCACTGCTGCATGTTATAATAACAGGAGATAAATGGACTCAACGATTATTGTACCACAGGATAACTAACTTAATTTACAGTTATTAACAAAAGTGAGTCATTTTCATGCCACCACAATGAGGACTGTGAAAGGAACTTTCTCATCTACTGCATCATCATCTCATAAGGACTGTAGGAAGCTTTCTCATTCTCTCTCCACCTTTAAGAGGAGCAGACATTTGCAAATCAAGGAAATCACACACCTTTTATAGTTTCTTCTTGTAATTCATATCAAAATGTTAACAGCAGTGCTTCTTCTCTGAAGACTTTGGGTTCACTCTCATAACCTCTTTATTCCACGCTCCCTGTAACCCCAGACTTAAAGCCCAGAGGAGGAGTTAACACATCTGAATCACACCTACTCTCTGCCCACAAAAGAGTTGCCAAAAATACATACTGTCTTAAAATCACAAACATACTCTATGTATCCAGGCTTCCCATCAAGTCAGAATTGTGCCTTCACAAACAAGATTTAGTATTTCAGGTATATATGAAAATACATCTAGACATTAATAACAGCTAATACTTCTCAAGTATATTATTTACTTCCATTTTATCTTCACAGATGGGAAGGTGGCATCACTTTCCAAATAAGCAACTCAGAAAGGTTACAAAGTTTGCATAAGAGCACATAGTTATTAAATGGTAGAATAGGAATCTGAACCCATGTCTCTGAATAATTTTTAAATCTATGCATTTAATCACTGTACTGTCTCCCACTGACAGAAACAGATCACTCATGAGCAAGTTTAATGGCCACATAGATACATACATAGACAAACCCTGTTCAAGCCCTTGAAAGGAATAAAATCATCCTGGACAGAATGAAAATTATAAGCAGTGTATCAGAAAGACGCCACCTAATACAATCCTTTCCAAATGTCAAAAGACCAGTCAGTCCAGTACCTGCTTGGACACATTCAGTGACTTAGAATAGTGACAGTTTTAGGTTCTATTCAATCCATGCTACTCCAAGTTTGACCTGTAGTGCAGCAACATTGGCATCAACTGGGAGTTTTTAAGACGAGCAGAATCTCAGACCCCACCCCAAGTGCTAGTGAATCACAATCTGCATTTTAATAAGATTTCCAAAGTTTGAGTGTGCACATTAAAGTTTCAGAATCAATCATTTAGCCAGCAACAAATTTTAAAGCACCTCCTTTAGCAATGTTATTCACACTGTCCCCCCGCTTCTCTCAGAATGATCTGGCTTCAATGACCTGGTTCTGCAACTCAGTATACGTAATGGTGCACACAAGCACTGAAGACATGTCAACGCACATCCATCCTTCTTCCTCTTCCTCGAAAGTTCCCTATCATCCCACTTTCTCACAATCAAGTCACTTCTCACTCCTCTGAGCTCCTAACATTCCTTTACATTCATGTTGACAGTTATCCAAAACCTTTTACTGAATGTCCACTATGTACTGGGCACTGAACTAGACCACATCTACTTTAGAGTTAATATCCGGAATATATTCAATAAACTTAACTATATGCTAAACTACTTAAGGACACAGAGCAAGGCTTTATGTCCACTCGTGTCCACACCTAATCCAATGGAGAACTGGCTTTGGAGCGTTGATATGAAGAAAGTTCTTATGAAATATATTTTCCTATAACATCTGCCACCTGACCTAGTTCTGCTTCCATAAATGCACACACAAAAATGTACTTCCGCTCCCATTTTTAGCTAAAAAACATTGAGCAGCTTACTTTTCTTCCTATAGACTTCAAGCTAAAATCATCTTCAAATTGCTTCAACCTTTCTTAAATTCTGGATTGAATTCCACAGCAGACCCCCAATCCTGGAATAATGAATTAACTGTCCATTCCTGAGTTCTACTAAGTTCCATTTACAAGTATAGTAGCCTACATCTAATTTCATATTCCAGAGGTGTTCAGTCCTATCCTGAGAGACTACTGCAGTACTCATAGTAAATAAAGTATTTTTATTAACACAGATTAAGTTGGTGACAGATTTTCGAAATTTCAACACAATTTCTTCTATAGATCTTTGACAATCCGCAGGAAGCTTCTAGGCAATTATTAGTTAATATAAAAAACCAGATCAAGTTAATTTACATTCGTTTTGAGAGTTTAGCAATCAGGGAGTTGGCCTTACATTCTCACATCCAAAAAAAGTACAATATATTTGGAGAGCAGAGACCTTACAAGGGAACGCTAATGTCTGAGCACCTGGCACACACTGGTGTGCCAAACCAGGAGATGCAAGTTTACTTGGCCCCACTCCCTAAAAAGGCAATATTTAGAGAACTTGAATAGCAAGAACAAAAGCAGGTACCTTTAACTAATGCAAACAAATAATGTCTGCATCAGTTCAGACCTCAAAGCTTTTAAGGAAACCAAACCCACTAACAAGTAGATTTCAACTCATAGTGACCCTACAGAACATGGTAGAATTACTCCATAAGGTTTATCAAGCTATTTGGAAGCAGACTGCTTCATTTTTCTCCCATCAAGTGACTGCTAGGTTTGAGTCAATGACCTTTTTGTTTTAGAAGCTGGGTGCTTAACCCACTGCAACACCAGGGCTCCTCCTTCAAAGTTTTAAGGAGGCAGAATTTCACCTGTGGCATCCTGGTGTGGCACTGTAGGATAAGGACTGGACCACAATACCCATTTAAACCACAGGTCACAGATTCAAACTCATCAGCCATTTCTTGGCAACCCTATACAGGGTCACTATGAGTCAGAACTGACACCACTTAACAACAACATCTGCAAACGGGGACAGCTGTTGGTGGACAGGCACAGCTCAGTCTGATTGGGTAGGACTATGCTAGCATCCCCTTGTTATGTTGTTGTTAAGTGCCATCGAGTCGGTTCCGACCCATAGCGACCCTGTACAGGGTGTAAATCTTTACGGGAGTAGAAAGAAAGCCTCATCTTTCTCCCGCGGAGCGGCTGGTAGTTTCGAACTGCTGACCTTAAGGTACACAGCCCGATTCGTAACCACTACGCTACCAGAGCATCCCCTAGTGCTGAGCAAAGCCTGAGCAGCTGGCGTCAGTCCAAGTCCTCCCACCTTTCCCATCACACACCCTCACAACAGTGGACTTTAGAACCCGGGGGCTCATATGACCTTAACCACAAAAGTCCTCTTCCCACATGTAACTCAGCTGTAAATCTAGGGCTTTATAGTTTAAGGCTATTATTTAAAAGGCAAGTTACTTTCTTAATCTGAGTCTTAAATTTCCTCATGTGTAAAATTGAGATAATTATTACTTCCAAAGTTGTTTTAGGAAATAAGCTAATGTGATCTGTGGAGTTCTCTGGCAATGATAAAGGAAGGGTCCTTCCCTCTCCTGCCCCAGCCTATGCTCCCCTACCTCCTGAATTCACTTTAAGCTACAACAGCCTATTGTTGCTGTTGTCGTTAAGTGCCATCAAGTCGGTTCCAATTCATAGCGACCCTGTATAGGGTTTCCATGGAGAAGTTGGCGGGCATGAACTGTGATTAGCAGTACAGTGCTTAGCCTATAGCACTACACAACATCCTAGAGTCTATTAAAAAAAAAAAAAATCCCCACAATTAATACTTTTAAATCTTACCTTTATTTTGAGCATAGCCATTCCTTTTCCATAAATGTGTAGTAGGCATAATTATCTTTTTAAAGGTATTTTTCCCTTACCATCTGCAGCAGTGCAGCGAGAAGCCAGCTCCCACAGGACTAATCCCACGGCGTACATGTCTATCCTCAAAAATGCATCCCTCTGGAAGTTTATAGCACCCTCCAGTACCTCAGGAGCCATATACCTCCGGGTACCAACCTAAAAAAAATGTTGAAAGTAAGCAGCACTCATTAACTGTAAGAACTAACATTTTATGATCTTATAAAAAAGAATCAAAGAAAACAAAATGTGCTCTAATATCATATAGGTAACTACATTACAACTATCAGATTGTGGAGAGAAGCAGATTATTAATTCCATTGCAAATAGTGCAACCACCAAACCAAAGTGTCCATAAGGAGAGACCGCTTAATCAAATACGGTACTAGGCAGCTCTGAACACATGAGGTAGACAGATCTTGTATACTGATACAGAAAAGTCTCCACAAATACTGCCCAGTGAAAACAGGAACACAGCAGTAAGTAAGATCCTTTCTGGGTACATTTTATAAACATTTAAAAAGTAATAGCTAAGTACAAGATGCAAACACTTTAAAATATATATTTATTTATTCATGAGTTCTTCAGTTTTGGAGTCCTTTACCAATACCCAATCCTAACATTTTGGAACTTCCTGGTACTAGAGTCATGGTGTGCCACTGTAGAATAAGCAACAGACTGTTAACCACAAGGTCAGCGGTTCAAACCCACCAGTTGTGCCAGGGAAACCCTATTCAGTGTCTATGAGTTGGAACCAATTTGATAGCAGTTAACAACAGCAAGCTAGCTCTGATTGGTGCCTGACAACATCATATATAAACGCTGATGAAATACTGAGTAGACAGTTGGGCCAACCACATATACTTGAGTTTAATAGATCTAGGGAGGGCCCAGTATTGGTATTTTCAAAGAGGGGCTTCCCTAAGTGACTGTTAACTCCACCCTAGACTAGAAGCTGAACCATTGTCTGCAAATATTTCATGAAATATTTCAAAAATTTCATGAAAAAAAAAATCCATTTTTTTGAAGCTTCTTCATATACATGTAACAGAGATGGTTTATAAAAGTACAGATGACTAAAGTCCAAAAGTTTGAGTTGTTAATGCATTTACTGCAGAGAACACTACAAGAAAAACAACTGTGCTTTGTTGGTACTTAATAATAATTATTGTTAATTGCACCATACATGAAGGTTTCCCAAAAGTTTCCCAATTCTCCTAAAGCTAAATTTATTCCTGCTGAAGTATTTTTTTATTATGAAATTATGGCTTATCTTCCTTTTTGTGTAAAAATGTCTGCTTTTATAAACTGATAATAGTAAATATGATCTGCATCATTCCCTCAATGTTCTTTCCTTGCAAGACATAAAAAGTACCATAGCATGCAAGTCCCACCAAACATTCTGAAATTATCTGGTCTGTAAAACTAAAGTCAAGGAATTCCTGCTTTGGTGTTTTAAAAACTGAGTATTTTAACCTCATCACATAACCCACTGTGAGGGAGTTACAACATGCATAAATGACTCCCAAATCTATTTTCTCTTTTTCTCTAAAAAACAGATGAGTAGTTATAAGAAGCTGATGGGAGAAAATGTTGCCAAAATTTAGTCTTATAATAGTAAATCACAAAATTAACTCAAAAGTTCACCTCTAAAATTTCCAAATAATCTCTATCTCAGTAACATTCCACAAAACTGCTACTTGGTGGCAACTTTTCTACAGCTGTATGCCAGCTGATCATTGCTCTAAATTCTTAAATTGTTAGTCAAATTTGCCAAAATTTGTTGGTAATAACTGTGCTTTTTAGGCTCAATAGGATACACTGAAAAAATGAAAGCTGAGAATAAGCTGACCAAATAAGTGTTGTTATTGTCCGTAAGCACCCTAAGGTGGTTCCAACTCAAGTGACCCTGTATAGGGTATCCAAGGAGCAGTTGGTGGTTTAACCTTGTGGTTCTCACTCCAGTGCTGATCCTACAGTGCCACACCAGCACCATTTAAAAGATGAAGAAATAAGAAAGCCAAAGACTGAATCCTTAAGGCTGTGTAACCAGTCAAACTGGTTTTCTTAATTACAAAGGGATCTAGTAGGAGTGATAACACATTGCCTAGCTTCACAGTGGCTGAGAATACAATGTGTGGGGAATGTTTCTTTCTGCTTTGGCCTTCCTATAGATGTCTATTAAAGTGTGGGGAATGTTCTTTTCTACTTTGGTCTCCCTATAGGTACTAGGTGTCCATTACTTTGTACAGCTTTGTACAGCTTTTGCCTAGAGTTATGTAGCTCACTCGGAGCTTTCAAAAAAAAAAAAAAAAAAGAGAAAAGTCATGAAGTTGATTAAAACAATAAAGTGCAAAAATCTAGAAACTATCATTGTTGTCTAGGAAAAAATGGGCAGGGGATGGGGTCTTAATATAGTGTAGCAAGAATGAGGATTGATTATTCTTACATTTCTCTTAGGATGGGGAGATAATTAATTTACCTGGAACTACTGAGTTAATACTAAGGCTGAACAAGCACTAGGTCTATTAAGAGGGGTAAGAGGATGCTCTGCTTTGTTTTAAAAGCAGAATCCCAGGTCATTTGTCTAGGTTACTTTATAAATTGCTTGAAGTAAAATACTTAAGAAAGTCATTTTATAGTAGATACTGATTAAATAACTAGCTACAATTTTAGACCAATTTGTTCCTGGCATACAATTCTAAGAAAATGAGGAACAAGCTGATTTTTTCTCACACTTCATAATTATTTTTCTTACCTGTCCATGGGTATCACCTGCAGACTTGCCAGCCTCAAACTTTAACGCCAACCCAAAGTCAGCAATGCAAGCTGTCAGATTGCTTTTCAAAAGCACATTTTTACTTTTGATGTCCCTTGCAAATAGAAAAAACAAAGTATTCACGTTAAGTTTAAGCAAGTTATCTTTCAAAAAGTTTTCTTTTTACTGAAAGTGGGAAAGAGGAAGACTACGTATACTATAAAAAATAATTAGCATAAAATGCAAAGAAAAGAAGAGGGAGGAAGAAATTTAAGCCAAGTCCCTATAGAGTCTGAGGTTCAAGATTACAATCCATGTCACTCTCACCCAATGACCACAGAGCTACTGTTTCTTAAGAAAGCAAGAATATTTCAGAGTACAGAGTCCTATAAACTCCGATGGTAAGTACATATACATATATACATATATATGTATATATACATAGAGTATGCAGTCCTGGTGTGGCACTGTGGGCTAATACGCTTGACTGCAAAGTCAGTGGTTCAAGCTCATCAGCTGCTCCTTGGAAACCCTATACAGGGTCACTATGGGTCAGAACTGACTCAACAGTACTAATAAACAATATATGTGTGTGTGTGTGTGTGTGTGTGTATATATATATGTATAAAATGTATTTATTTATTTAATGAAAAGATTATTTTAAATTAGCTTAGTCAGAACCTTTCCCCTATTGGTACAAGTCTACATTTTAGTCTGGCCCCTTATAATGATGTTTTTATATTCTTCTACCTAGTTGTAGAATCCACCATTCTATGTCAGTTTGTCATACTGTGGTACCTTATGTGTTGTTGTGATGCAGGCAGCTATGTCACCGATATTTTAAATACCAACAGGGTCACCCAAGGTTTCAGTGGCACCTCCATACTGAGACTAGGAAGGAGAGGCAGACCACTTCTGAATAGTCAGAATGAGTCCTTCATGTTGGAAGGCACTCAAAATACAACTAGGGAAGAGCTGACTCTTCAAAGTAGAGATGACCATAATGAAACGAATGGAGCAAAACTTTGGGACCTTCATTTGCTGATGGGACACAACTCAAAATGAGAAGAAATAGCTGCAAACATCCATTAGTAATCAAAATACGGAATGTTTGTAGTTTGACTACAGGAAATTAAGTAGTCAAAAATGAAGCAACACTCATAAAGATCACTATCTTTAGCATTAGTAAGCTGAAATGGACTGGTATTGTCTGTTTTTAATATTGCCAGGAACGACAAACTGAAAAGGAATGGCATCACATTCATCATCAAAAAGAGCATTTCAAGACATACAGGAAAAATATAAAACAACATAAGCAGACCAACTGAACAATAAAGTTGCTTTCCCAGGAAACATCAAGGCAAGTGGTTGGGTCCCCTCAGTGTAAACCCCCTTTCAAGACTAAGACTCAATGGGAACTCAAGCTCTGATTAGTGACCATACTTGTCATTAAAAAGGGGAAATGAGGGAAAAACAGCAATGAAGCTGCAAGCTAAGCCTTACAACAAATCCTGTGAACCCGGGTGGAGACCTGGTTGGCCAGCAGTGTAGCAAGACCTGGGTACTCTTGGGCCCAGAATCAGTGACAGAGCCACAGAGCACTAGAGTGGAGAGTGAAGCGACCAGCTGATAAGAAGAAAGGGCAAATGCACAAGAAAACCCACACTTGTAGATAATACCCACTTGACCTGGCTTCAATGACTGGATGATCAGAGCTCAACCAGAAGAAGAAAGAAGAGGGAAAAAAAAGAGTAATCTGATACAATTTGATGAACTTGACCTACACCTATGGATGCAGTAGCTCAAAAGAGGGAACAAATCCTTACAGCAAGGATCATTCGCACCCCTTCCATACAGAGTAAACAGGGATGGACATCTTGGACATTGGCTACCAAAAATGGCGGGGGTGGTGGGGGGTGGTGTGCCTACAAAGGCTAGAAGTGACTTGGTTACATGCTTTCAAGAGGGAACCTAGATTCAGAGGCCGTGAAGGAAGGTAGAATCTCCACTGAGTAGTATATAATCTGTCTAGGTGGGGGGGCTGATGAAATGAAATGCGAATGGGTCTCTTATGATACAATAGTGAGTAATTGTTATCAGGACTGCTTGTGAGAGATGGAAATGTAAAGGTAGACGTTTTGTATAGCAAGGAGGGGAGTGATTAACTTTTCAGCCTAGAAGCGGAGGTCCCTGGGACCATCGAGGGAGAAGAGCGGTGAGCGGGACCCTACCCAGAGAAGCAGTGATGCCTGAGATGGAGGCAGAGACCATGGCATGGAGAGATGGAGCAGTTGGGGACTTTAGACACAGAGAGGGAGAGGGGTTGTGTGCTGACGACCGGGGGGCAGGCTTGTAGTTGGCTGATGATGCATGGAGGGGACTGTAACCATAGCAATGAAATGATATATGATAGGATGAATGTAAAACTAATGTTCTACCATGTAAACTATCACATAATTCACAATAAAACATTAAAAAAAAAAAAAAAAAGAGCATTTCAAGATCTGTCTTGGAAGTGCAATGCTGTCTGTGATGGGACAATATCCAAATGCTTGCAAGAAAGACCAATTAATATCACTATTATTCAAATTTACGAAGAAACCACTAAAGCCAGTGATGATGAAATTAATGATTACTATCAACTTCTTCAGTCTGAAATTGATCTGACCACAATGCATTGATAATTACTTATAACTAGAATGTGAAAGTTGGAAACAAAGAGGAAGGATGAATAGTCAGAAATTATGGCCTTGGTGATAGAAACAATGATGGAGATCACATGACTTAATTTTTTTTAAGACCAATGACTTCTTCATTTCAAATACCTTTTTTCAACAACAAAGATGCAATACACAAGAATCAAATTGACTACACCTGTGGAAGAGACAGTGGGAAAGTTCCAAATAATCAGCCAAAACAAGGCCAAGGGCCGACTGTGGAACAGACCACCAATTGCTCATATGCAAGTTAGGTTGAAGATGAAGAAAATTAAGACAAGTCCATGAAAGGCAAAATAAAATCTTGAATATACCTCACCTGAGTTTAGAGACCAACTCAAGAACAAATTTCATGCATTAGACACTAATTAGACACTGCGGGATTACATCAAGAATATCACACATGAACAAAGCAAAATGTTTCTAAAAGGAAAGGGGTGGGGCCGGAGAGACTAAAATGGGTATCACAAAAGACTCTGAAAGTTACTGAAATCTCAACTTCCAAAACTGAAGGATTGATTCTATGGGCAAAATGGGAGTCCTGGTGTGGCATTATGGGTTAATGTGCCAAACTGCAAAGCAGTTTGAACTGCAAGGTCGGTGGTTCAAGCTCACCAGCTGTTCCTCAGAAACCCTATACAGGGTTGCAACTGACTTGACGGCACGTAACAACAACAACATGCAAAATTAGCCCAAATGTGGTGCCGTAAAATAAGCACTGGACATGTAACCACAAAGCCACCAGTTTCAAACCCACAAGCCACTTTCAGAAACGCTATGCAGGGTCACTATGAGTCAGAACAACAGCAAAATGGATAAAATATTGAATGATGCAAGAGGCATTAAAAGAAGATGGAAGGAATACATTATAATTATACAAAAAAGAATTGGTAGCATATAATCAAGAATTGATGGTACAGAAGGAAAAAGTCCAAGCTGTGCTGAAGGCATTGGCAAAAAACAAGGTTAACTGACTAAAAGAGATCCATTATTTGTGTCCAAAAGAATGGAAGGTGACCCAAGAGAATGCAGAAATCATCAAACAATATCATTAATATGCAACTAAAATTTTACTTAAAGTTAATTCAAAAACAGGTGCAGCAATACATGGCCAGCAAGCTTCCAGAAATTCAAGCCAGATTCAGAAGAGGACATAGAATGGTAGGATACCATTTACTGGCATCAGATGGACCTTGAGTAAAAGCAAAAAATAACAGAAGTAGCAATGAAGATTTGAGCTGAGTTTGACCATGTTCCATAGACACCCGTCGACCTTGAGATGAGACAGAAAAGAGGAAGGACTTACTGGTCTGAAGCTGAGGGAGACTTGGGAACTCTCAAGCCAATGGACACTGACCTAGCCACTGGGGGCAAGAGCTGGGGGCAAGTGGCCAGCTGGTCTGAAGTGCGGGGAAGCCTTTAAGAACGCCCAAACTTACATGCAGTACCCATCTGACTTACCTTTGACTAGCGGAAGTGGAAGAAGTTTGATACAGGAAGCAAGTGTAAATTGCTACAATTTGATGTTCTGGACCTTTGTTTATGGATGTGTTTTTGTTAAGTGCCCTCGAGTTGATTCCAAATCATAGCAACCCTGTAAAGGGGTTCTGAGGAGCAGCTGGTGAGCTTGAACTACCAACCTTGTGGTTCAAACCGGCCTTGCATTCCAGCACCATTAACCCACAGCACCACACCAAGACTTCTGCTTATGGATGTAGTTGCTCAAAATTCCAATGTAAAGAGAAGGATTCAAGGATCAAGGATATTAAGGATCAAGCTTGCCTCCTCAGTACATACGAACAGGCAACTTAGACATTAGTTATCAAAAATGGGGGGCTGTAAAGGCATGAAGTGACGGGCTTACGAGCTTTCAAGAGTTTGCTTAGTTTCAGAGCGAGGGAGGTAAGGTAGAATTCCCACTGAATAGTTTTCCTCTTTTCCAGACTGGGATGGGGGAGTATAGGGTTAAGATATTTTTAATAATGAGTAATTAATATCATCACTAATTGCGACTGTCACAACTGTAAAGATAGAAGATGTGAAACAAAAAGGGAGTAGTAGTGAATCTTTCATTTCAGGAACAGAGGACCCTAGGACCACTGAGAGGGAAGAGCTTTGAGCGGAGCGTGGGATCCTAACCAGAAAAGAGATGGAAACTCAGGCAATGGCATAGAGAGACAGAGAGAGAGAAAGCAGCTGAGGACTCTAGACCCATGGAATGAGAAAAGTTGTATCGTGGTGGGCAGGAGGCTGGCTTGTAAAATTTGCCCTTTGGCCATTTAAATGAATATATATTTACAGTACATTTAAAAAAAAAAAAAAAAAAAGGAGAATAGAGGTAAATACTGTTGACCGGTGGTGAATGGAGGGGATTGTAATCATTACAATGAAACAAAAT